GGGGGGGGGGGGGGGCTTTGTTTACTTACACACAGAACACTGCCAGAAGAAGAGGAGCAGGGGAAGAAAAAGCAAGAACTTTCATTTCATTTCTGTTAAACCTTCAATTACTTTAATTTTTGATTAGTCCCAAGTTCATATCAGTTTAATTCTAGGGATGTATGTGTACTCTCTATGAATTCTTCAAAAGTCTCTGACATTGTAAAAAGAAAACTACTGAGATTGACAATGTTTGTTTCCCTTTGGAGATTAAAATGTTTCTAGTTGGGATAATTTAAGATTCCTGAAGGAAACTTCAACATAAGCCAACAGTTTTTTTTTTTTCCCATTAAAGTTTACTGGTCATTTAAAGCAAACAATACAATTACATTTATCATTAGATCTTGTAACTTTATATGACCTGTCTTGGTTCTTATTTTTATCCCCATATCCCTGTCCTCCCTTCACCCTTCCCTATTTACAAAGACTTTGTTTCCTTTTTTCACATTTTTTTCTTTTCCTTTATTTCCTTTCCCCTCCCCTTCCCACTTCGCCTTCAGCCATTTTCTTCCCATTTCACACTACGGATTATACCATTTCAACAGTTCTTTTTAAAAAGTTAAAAGCAAATTTTGAGGAATTTTTTCTTCTAAGAGGAACATAGTAACCTTATGTAAATAAACACAATACAAGGTTATCAAGTTAGGGGTGTTTCAAACTCTACTCCACCTCTCAATCAGGTAGTCCAAATTTAAGTAAAAAAATCTGAAGGCCTTTACTAAAATCAATGTAGTGTTGTGAATAAAGAGTTGAAATCCTTCAGGGAGTGTATGTTGCTAACTCTCCTATTAAATTCACAGATGTCTTGTATTTTTCTAAAACAGTGAAAATACTCAAATGCAACAACTTGAAATATTATCATGTTAAATTTCTTTTATTAACCTCTCAGGGCTTACACTAAAATTCTGAAATGCAAAACAGCATACCTACATATCACCATTGTGTTTCTCTCTATTAAGACCAAAACTTAAGCTAGAACTGAGGAAAACTATTGTCACAAAAATTTAGGACCATTAAAGGACAAAAGTGATGACACTGTGTAATAGACAAGGAAGTCAGATGGCTTAAACTCATGCCCCTCCAAAAGAATTCTTTCCCTATTTTTAAATACTACCAAATATTTTCAACCAAGTAACACAAAAATGTGCTTTTTCAAAAATAAAAAGAGGAGTCATCATTCCACCTTGAGACAACACTGAAGTAATAATATCTAAAATTTAGAATAACTTCTAAAATAGAAAGATGGTATATGGTTAAAACTATTAATATATATTTGAGGCAAATAGTTTTCTTCTTTAACAAGAAAAGAAGGAAAAACAGAGCCCAGACTGAATTTGTAAGCCTGCTTGATGGAACCTTCCACCATAATTAGAGCTAACCACCTCTGAGGGGAGGAGCTTAACTGGGGGTAACTTTGTGTAGTAAGGGAAAGCAGTATAAATACCCCAGGGCAGCTCCGGACAGGGCAACTCCTGCACTGCTTACCTGGGCACAGGAGGCCTCAGACAGCTGCCAAGGCAACACTCCAGGAGCTCCTAGGGTAAGTCTGGGTGGTGGTGGTGGGGTCACTGGCAGACCTCCACGTGTTGGCTTACTTGAAAACAAGTTTCAGTAAATTAACTACTTGGTGTTCTGTACATAATTTTGCAAACTGCTTTCTACTATATTCTCTATGAAAGATTTGTTTGTACCAGTCTATATACTAAAGAAAACATACTGTACAAATCTGAATTTTAGTGCATTTTAAAACTTTTAGATTCTTCAGGCTAAATATCCTGAATTACTTAATTCAGACATCTAATGATGATTTCTGTTAGCCTGTTTGTAAATCACTTTATTTTTACTCAATTCTTTGACTAGGGCTTCCAAAAGTAACTAAAGACCTATACTCACAGGACTAAAACAGTCAATAATTTATGGAATATATTTAAAATATAAAGGACTGGCTAAAAATGTAATTACTGTATGAAGAGTTCACCTGTGCAGCACTGAAAAAAATATGTCAATAACAAAACTAAATGAAATTCTGTCCTTCTGGTTTTCAGAATCCACCTGAGAATATGCTGCCACAAATAGCCCTCTGGCTGCTAATGTCGTTGATCTTGGTTCACGGAGAGTTTTATGCTGAGCAATACCAAACGCCCACAGGCATAAAAGGCCCACTCCCCAACACCAAGACCCAGTTCTTCATCCCCTACACCATACGGAGTAAAGGTAAACTGAACTGTGTGCTGTGCTGTATTATCCAGCTGGCTGGTACTTTCTACAGTCTTAACGATGATGATCTCTTTGACAAAATGCTTACAACTCTGGAGTCAGTCTATTTTCAAATTCCTAAATTAACTCAAACTCTTACCACAAAATGATCTGCGGAAGGAGTAGGTCAATACAAGACTAGTAAAATCCATGGTAAGGTGAATATAAAAGATATAACTGAAGAATATTAAGAATTTTTATGTGTGGGATATGTTCCCCTCACATGACATTTTTGCACAAATACCTATCCATAATCTGGAAATATTTACCCAATCAAAATTAATCAAGTTTAAAATTCTGTCTAAAATAATTTGCATAAAGATAACAGAAGGTTTATTTTTAAAGATTTATTTTTAAAACTCATTTACCTGGGGTACAAATGTGCCCAAAAGGGAGTCTGAAATAAAACTTGATGCCCTTCCTCAATAAATCAAGAGGCAACTGAAGTGGCGATTCTCCGTTACTTACTCACTCTTAGTCTGGCGGTGAAATACAGACAGCTGCTACATACTAGCTATGTGGACTCTGGCAAGATTCTTTCCCTCCTTGTGCCTTAACTTCTTCATCTTTAAAATGAGGAACAGCTAGCTACCTGAAAGACCGACTAGTCTGTCCAGGGCTTTACGGTCTGCCCTCACCACACGCCGGCAGAGCACTCCCACGTCTGCTCTTCTACACCACTCTGCGCTGCAGCTAGGGGGTGTAACTGTGCTTCTGAATCTGCTTCTTTCCCGGCTTCTACGGCGAAGAGCACTTTGACAATACATGAAAAATACGGACAGCCTCGAGGTGGTCTCATTTTCACTAATTCCATTTAATAGCATCTGATACAACTTACCTGACATCTAATGAATAATATAAACTAAGAGCAGGCATCAAGCTTCCTTTCCATAACATTTTTCCTTTCAGTTATGTATTCTGTCCCACAAGTACAGCTGAAGTAATCTGTCATGTATTTTAAATACTACGCTTTTGGGGGCAACCATTTTGAATAAACTAAACTTAAAAGACTGCCTTTTTAAGAAGGTGAAATTTAAAATATTTTCCAAAGCGTAGCTTAATATTTAAAAATAAAAGCACAGTTGTATAAGATACTTTTGAATGCCTCAAAATACAACTGAATTCAGAGAAAGATAAAAGCTAGAAAAGGAAGAATAAAAGACAACAAAATCTGCTCTTTCACTGGAAACAACAAATGCAATCTGAAATGCTGTGATATGCAGCACCAGGCTCAATATTCTCATAAATTCTCACTTAATAGCTTTGTAGGTTCATCAGCCACAGTTTTGAATGAAAAAATAAAATGCATTACTTTCAGGTTAAACATATTTCTGTCTTCCTACCCTGAGATACTGTGTCATCCTGGTTATTTCTGCACAGTAAAAGTAGTTTGTTAGTAGATGAAAAGTTCAGTAGCAGTATCTTAACTCTTTTTAATAATGTAAGGTTAAAAACTCCAATACATTATTATCCAGTGGGAGGGATTAATGTAGTGTAACAAACACAAAACCCCACAGTTTACACAAGCAAAGCACTCAGTTGCTAAAAGAAATTCAAAGAGTTCCTATACAATTCCTAGGTACATCTGCACAGCATGGCTATGAGTAGCTGGGGTTTAGCTCAGTGGTGCCACTCCTGCCTCACAAGTACAAGGTCCTGAGTTCAATCCCTGGTACTGGGGGAGGGGGAGTGTTTCATCTTAACTGTAAAACAGTTTTGCCAAACCCACTAAACTGTGCTGCTGAGGACAAGCCCAGATGGAAGCAGGTGTGGCCATCCTGCTCGGACACAGGGACGCCCTATCTGGGTGCAGGCAGTCATTTCTCCTTAAGGCTGCTGCCGCACTAATCTTTTTCTGAGACAGCAAACTGCAAACAGGGGTCAAATGTCCTTGCATGGAGAGTTTTAGGACCTACAAGGGCAACATTCAGAGAGACAAAGAGCACCCCCATCAGTAGGTCTGTAGACTCCAGTGGTGTCCAATACCATCGTTTTCAGTAAGATTTGATTTCACTCTTTCACAGCAGAACAGACTTCCAGCAGACAAGATAGCTTATTAAATAAGAAATGATCTTGGAAATAAAAAGTATTTTGTTAGGTTTTTTTTTTTTTTTTTTTTAATATTGGTGCTCAAACTTGGGAACTTGCGCTTGAAAGGCAGGCGGTGGAACCACTGAGCTAAATTCCTGGCCCTTGGGAAATAAAAAGTATTTTATGTACTTGGACATGGTGATATATGCTTGTAATCCCAACACTGTGGAAGGCGGAGGCAGGAGGATCACAAGTTTAAGGGCAGCCTCTCAGTGAGACCTTGACTCAAAACAAAAAATTAAAATAGGGGCTGGATATGAAGCTCAGTAGCTCAGTGCAAAGGCTGAGAGTTCATTTTTCCAGAACCACTTAACAAAAAAAGATGCTCATGATTACTGCTGACAGAGTGCAGTGTGTGGTAGGTAGCAATGTCTGCAAGGCCACTATATTCTGGTCTGAAGTGACCAGAAGCCCTCAAACACCTTCTAAAGCACTTCTTGTACTCTACTCAGTAACAGAGGCCCTGCAGGGCAGACCCTGTGCACTCCCACACCCTACACGCATGAAATTGGGATTACTGAGGTTAAGGAGAAGTCTTTCTGGTCAAAAGACCTTATGCCTTTATAAAATCAAACAATATTGTTTGCATTTAGGTAAGTACTTAAATACTACTATGTGTACCTCATCATTATGTCTAATTTGCTGATTCTTTATTTCAAATCAATAAGGGAAAGAACAAAAGCTTATAGAATATACTGAAGTAGAAAAAAGCAGTCTAAATCTAACTTCAGTAGGGCATGGCAGATATAAACTAGAATTAATTCCATTTCTCCTTATGTCTTATAGGACAGCCCACTGTTATACTTTCAGAACATTTTTTTCATGTATTCAATTGTCATTTTCTTTTTTCTGTCAGTTCTGTCAAATGCATCTCCCTCCTTATCTTTCTAAGATGATATTCTTAAGACAAGTGTGGTAACTTTGCCTCTACTGTACTCCTATGCTAGAGGAATTCCTCACTGTTGTCTTCTTGTGGTTCACAAGGATGTGACAAATTATTATGGTCACCTTGACTTTGTGAAACTATCTTCTCTAACAGTATTTTTTGAAACGACACCAAATGGATCATCTGAATGCCTCTGGACTGGTCTGTTAGAATGACTGACACTGCAGTGCCTTGCCTTGATTCGGTTAGAGAAACTTCGATTATCTTCAATATTACTAACCATCCCTTTTCTGGGTGGTGTATTGGTGTTGTCTTTCAGGTATAGCAGTGAGAGGAGAGCAAGGTATTCCCGGCCCACCAGGCCCTGCTGGACCTCGTGGGCACCCAGGTCCTTCTGGACGACCAGGAAAACCAGGCTATGGAAGTCCTGGACTCCAAGGAGAGCCCGGATTGCCAGGACCACCGGGACTACCGGGCACTGGGAAGCCAGGTTTGCCAGGACTCCCAGGAAAACCAGGGGAGAGAGGACCATACGGACCAAAAGGAGATGTTGGACCAGCTGGTTTACCTGGACCACGGGGCCCACCAGGGCCACCTGGAATCCCTGGCCCAGCTGGAATTTCTGTGTCAGGGAAACCTGGGCAACAAGGACCTGCAGGTGCCCCAGGACCCAGGGGCTTTCCTGGGGAAAAGGGTGTACCAGGAGCTCCAGGTGTGAATGGACAAAAAGGGGAAGCAGGATATGGTGCTCCTGGCCGTTCAGGTGAGAGGGGTCTTCCAGGCCCTGAGGGTCCCATGGGACCACCTGGTCCTCCTGGACTGGGAAAAAGAGGCGAAAATGGCTTTCCAGGCCAGCCAGGCATCAAAGGTGATCGGGGTTTTCCAGGAGAAAGGGGACCAATTGGCCTGCCAGGTCCCCAAGGTCCTCCTGGGGGACGAGGACCAGAAGGCATTGGAAAGCCAGGAGCTCCTGGAGCCCCAGGCCAGCCAGGGATTCCAGGAACAAAAGGCCAACCTGGGATTCCAGGAACAGGTGGGCACCCTGGGCCTCCTGGTTTTGGGAAACCAGGCTTGCCAGGTCTGAAGGGACAAAGAGGACCTGCTGGACTTCCAGGGAGTCCAGGTGCCAAAGGGGAACAAGGGCCAGCAGGTCATCCTGGGGATCCAGGTCTGCCTGGATCCCCTGGAAGTGTGGGGCCTCAAGGACCAAAAGGCACCCCAGGCCACCGTGGTATACCAGGTCCTAAAGGTGAAATAGGGCCAGCTGGGCCCGCAGGACATCCTGGGGCTCGAGGAGCAAGGGGTTCTCCTGGGTTAGAAGGAAAACCAGGGTACCCAGGAGAGCCAGGTCTCAGTGGTCCTAAGGGTAACCCAGGGTTACCAGGCCCCAAAGGTGATCCCGGAGTGGGAGGACCGCATGGTCTCCCAGGCCCCACAGGCCTCACAGGAGCTAAGGGGGTGCCAGGACACAATGGTGAAGCTGGTCCAAGAGGTGTCCCTGGCATACCAGGTAACAGGGGCCCCACTGGGCCACCAGGTGTTCCAGGATTCCCTGGATCTAAAGGTGATCCTGGAAAACCAGGTCCTCCTGGGCCAGCTGGTATAGCAACTAAAGGCCTCAATGGACCTACTGGACCACCAGGACCTCCAGGTCCAAGGGGTCATGATGGAAAGCCTGGTCTCCCAGGGCCTCCAGGCCCCCCGGGCCCCCCAGGCCAAGCAGTCATGCCTGAGGGCTTCATCAAGGCAGGCCAAAGGCCAAGTCTTTCAGGGATGCCTTTTGTCAGTGCCAACCAGGGAGTGACAGGAATTCCTGTGTCTGCTTTTACTGTTATCCTTTCCAAAGCTTACCCAGCAATAGGTGCTCCCATTCCATTTGATAAAATTTTGTATAACAGGCAACAGCATTATGATCCAAGAACAGGAATCTTCACCTGCAGGGTGCCCGGAATATACTACTTCTCCTACCATGTGCATGTGAAAGGGACTCACGTTTGGGTAGGCCTGTATAAGAATGGCAGCCCCATAATGTATACCTATGATGAGTATGCCAAAGGTTACCTGGATCAGGCTTCAGGGAGTGCCATAATTGATCTCATGGAGAGTGACCAGGTGTGGCTCCAGCTACCCAATGCTGAGTCAAATGGCCTCTATTCCTCTGAGTATGTCCACTCTTCCTTCTCAGGATTCCTGGTGGCTCCCATGTGAACATACTCCCCTCAAACAAATCCAAATCTTCTGTGTGAAAAGGCCTTCCCAAACTCCAGCCCACCCCACAAAATGAATAGAGGTAGGCTGAAAATATTTAAACATCTCCTCATAAAAGTCCTGCTACAGCAAAAAAAAAGCAAAAGAAAAATCACAAAAAAACAAAAATAGAATTCTAAATTGTGTTAATTTTAATTTCAGAAACAGCATTTCCTTTTAAATTAAGCCTTCTAACAATTAATATGAGAATTTTTAGTAAACATCAAAGAAGTAACACACAGCTCTGTAGAAGTTACATACTTGAATATCTACACTTAAAAAACGTGTTCCCTAAGATACTTGTAATGGTGCATTATTCTATGGCTCATGTGGCCCCTTTCATCATGACTGATTTGAACACACAGGTGCACATGTACTCTTTGAAGCTCTTGTAAGAAACCAGAATACTGTGTTGAAATTGATCTGAAATGCCAGGTGCTTTAATCATGGACCTTTTGAAACTTCTGTGATTGCAGAAAGCCTTTCCATACTTTCCATATTCCCAGCACAACCTGGAAATAGATGTCTGACCTATTCTTACTTATTTAACACAGATGTGATCAATTTGATTTAATTCCTTACTGAATCTTATCCAACATTCAGGCAGTTTACACATTAGTGTCTTTGTGCTTCCCAGTCCAGGGATGTTATGACAGCATCAAGGATTTCAAAATCTGAATATAAATGAAAAGATCTTTATTTATGCTCTGTACTGTATTTTTATATTACTGTTTAAAACTTCTAAGCTGTGCCTCACTTATTAAAGCATGGAATGTTTACTCCTTGTTTACAAAGCAATAAAGTAATATCAACAGATTTTTATGCTGAATTTACTTGAAAGTTGCAATGTGGTGTTCTCAATCATGCTTTTAAGACTTTTTGTTCTTGAAAGTCAAGGAGGAGAAAAGCAATAAAGTGGTGGATGGCTTTTTCAGCTGTCATGGGTGCTAGGGACAGCGTTACACAGGCCCAGTCCTCAGTGCGCGCCATGAAGTGACCTGTACAGCCATGGCAGCTCAGGGCCAGTGCGAGGGTGGAAAAGCAGGCACAGGAAAGACAAAATCACCCCAAAGTATGGAAAGCAGGGGGTGGGAGAGAAATATATAATTTGAACAAATATTCTACAATTACTTTTTACTGCCTTGACAATTTTTAGTCATAATATTTAACTTTTTTTTTTTGTACCAGGGATTGAACTCAGGCCCTTGCATTTTGCAAGGCAGGCAGCGGAACCACTGAGCCAAATCACTGGCCCTTAAAATTATTTTGATGGCTTGATTTACATTAAGGAAAAGTCAAGCAATATTTTAGTGTCAATCAAAAAGCAACATGTTTCAAAGTTGAAAATACTGCTCCTGAGCATCCATTAGCCAACGAGGTGAATCAGGCCAGTGTGATTAAAGGGACCAGGGTAACGTGCTACACAGGCATCTATTTCTGCTGCAGAACTAGCCTCTGTGTAGCCCAAGCAACCTGGGAAGGAAAATTGAAAATCCTAGGCTCTGAGCTCATTCTGGGCCACCCACTCCCGTGCCTTGAACAGCAAGGATGACATTCCCTGGCAGCCACTCTGCCCACCTGTCCACACCGCACCCTAGAGGTCACCAGCTCTCCCTCCCAAACCAGAACGCAGCAACCCTGGAGCTTTCAGTTCTAGGGAACCCCAAGGCTCAACCCTACTGGTGGGCACGGGAAAGACATGGGAAAGACATCTTAACAGCACAGCAAGGAATACTGGCAAGTATGACCATAAAACAGACACAAACATAAGCAGAATTACCTTATAAAGCAACATTTAAGATCACATTAAATATTAAGAAAGGAGCACAGCAAGAGGCAACTTCTACCTGATTCAGTAGACACACAGCATTTAACAAACATCTATTACGAAGCCTCTCTTCACGTTACTCACCCTTAAAAGCTGACATTTTAAAATTGTGTTGAATACCAGCAACTATATCCTTCCAAAAATCAAATGTTTTTTGACCACTGTTCTGCTAAAAAAAAAATGTCCAAATGTAACAAATGCAGTAATTTTGAGTCTAAGCATAGTGGAAAATGCTGGCAAACAATTACAATATTACTGAACTATAAGATAGGGATTTATGTTTTAGAAAAGGTAACAGATCGATAAAGTTCTCATTCTTGTTCAATATGATTTTTGAGGAATCTTGCATGAAAACCCCTGCTACATATATAGTACATATATGTCTGTATGCACATACATATACAACACTGAATATAATAGCTAATATAGGCCAAATAGTTAAAATTCACACTCATTATAAGGTCTATACATTACAGAATACTTTAAAAACATAAGTGAATTTACAAAGTCACACAGTGTTTGAGGTCTATGAACACATTATTTAATGTGCTCTCATATCAATGGGGCCAAGAAACCTAAAGCTCTCTAGCCTCAAACACTGGTTATCTCAAAACTCAATGCCCACTTAACCTGAATTTCAAAATAAAAGAGCAGAAAATCAGTACAGGAGATAAATAAGGTTCCAAATCCAAAATTTAAATCATTTCTATGACGAAGTTTTAAAAGCAGAAAACAAACAAACATTATACTGAGATACAATTCTAGAGGCCTTTGCTTCCTTGGAAACATGTAACAGTGTCCGCCTATCATTCTCAGCAAGGACAAATGGATATTTGTGTAAGATCATGTGAGCTACAAAATACTTAAACAATGATGCATTTTGAACTGTGGGTGTAGGTCAGTGGTAGAGCACTTGCCTACAACATGTGAGGCCTTGGGATCGATCTCCAACTCTTCAAAAGAAAAAAATGAAAGAAAAAAATGCTACATTTTGTTTGTAGTAACTATCAAGAAGAGATACTGACCTCATTACACATTAAGAAAGATGTATACAAATCTTCCAAACTATTGCCCTACAGATACGTTCAAACACATGGCCATAATTCTAATTAAAAAGCCATTTATATATACAACTTTGACTTTAAAAGGGCAACATACGTAAAAGGGAAGTGATTCTGACATGTAAACTCGTTTCTATCCATAGATTTGACACTTCCAGTATAAAATAAAACTAGAGCCCTATTTCATCTTGATACATAAAACAAAGCAGGCTATACACTTTAAATGGCTTAAAATGATGAATTTAAAAATCTCATCTCCCTTTCCTGGTCTTATGCTATTCACAATGCTTAAAGACACATAGAATATTAATTACTTTTACTTGTTTATATTTTTTGGGGGTACCAGGGATCAAACTCAGGACTTTGTGCTTGTGAGGCAGGCATGGCACCAGAACTCAATCCCTGGCCGTTTTTCCTTAAGTTTTATTCTATTAATGAAATCAAGAAAATATGTGTCCACGTCATATTCTATATTTTCTTTTTCTAGACTTTTGCACCCCCTGCAGGTTTATTTTCAGGGGGTGGGGTGGTCACTGCTATTTAATTTTCTAAAAGTATTCTGACCAAATTCACTATGTTTTTCTTCCTCAGTCACCTTTGAAACCACGAACAGGTAATTAAATAATGTCTCAGCTCAAAATTATATATAACAAGTCCTTTTTCTTATGACTGAATACATATAGTTTTTAAAAGCATGAATACCCACTCACCTTTGTCAAAGAATCCACCACTCTAGCACATAACAGAGCTCCTGGCAGGTCAAAATAGTTATCATAAAAATAATATTTTCCTAAAAAAAAAAAAAGAACAAAATTTTTACATTGAGAACAAATTAATGCTTCATGTATGTGGAATACACAGAAACTTGCCTGGAGAGGCACTGGCTTGTGGTTTACTTATCTGAAAAGCCTCCATTTCAATTCACAATGGCTCCATTAGAAGCTATCACTGCTTTTCAAAGAACATTTAAGCTCCGAGGACATTAACATGGCATCTGTAAATTAAGTATTAAAAATATTTGGGTTGTCTTAAAAATATAAAATCTAAAACCAGGATATACCCTAAATATAAAATAGAATATGTTGAAGTGACAATGTATGTTATTAATGTCACTGAATTTCAAAACAATCAGGTTAACACTGGAGTCCCAGGGAGTGCTTCACACACAGGCCTTTTCATAGTAGTGTTCCTGGGCCCACCGAGCCCACATTCAGGTTCTGTGGCATTTCAGACACATTTCAAACAACGTGACAACAAACAGGGTGCTGAGAGGAATAAAGAATAAACCGCGTGAGCATATGGCGTCGGCAAAACTCAGGAGCACAAGACAGGTGCCCTCCAGGACCCTGTGGAAGAGGGGGATTCGAGTCATTCCGTGTGGCTGGGGCAGAGTTAAACTGCACCCTCACTGGCACACACGCCCTGTGGGTCTGCTGCCTCTGTGTGGCACTTCTGATGGCCCCGTCGCAGGCCCATGGTGCAAGGCTATTCTGGCCACAGCTCAACAGCACAACCCCATCTCAAACTTCAGTGTCCCTTGCTTTCACTCAAAGGCCCGTGTGGCCAAGCTCAGCTAATGGAGGAAGAGCCAGTGAACAGATATCCCAGCCTCCCGTGTCCTGGGCTGATAGCTGTAGGTCAATTCTGTGCCTCTCCTCAGAACCCAGCACCCACTGTTCCTAGCTGCTATCATATATCAACTTCCTAACCAGATGTAAGAAAGTAACTCATTGTAAGAAAGTAAATGGGGCTGCCGAGTCACAGGATCTTTTCTACTTCTCAATAGTAAAATTTTAAAAAATGTATTACTTTTATTATTTTGTAAAAACATGGGCTTTTATTTTGTGTCACAGCCTCATCACCTGGGTACAAGGCACCGGGATGACAAACACTTGCCCAGCCAACCCAATTCAGAGTAGATGAACAAGACTTGATGCTCAGGGAAATTAAGGGCTATGGGTGCTACAGATTCTAGGTGGTAACAGTGCCCTCTAGTGGGAGAAACCGAAAATGAGCATGTCCCACCCGCGAAGGCAGTTTTTTGGTAGCTGGGAAATACTTCAGCTTTTGAACTGATTTCAGACTGAAACACTTATGTGCTACCCTGTTTCTGGGATAAGAAAGGAGCTTATCTGTACTTGCTAAATTCTGAAGAGCTAACAGCAGTTCTCTACCATCACTTGAGGATATGCACCCACTTTACTCGAGATGTATGGAAGGATTCTCTACTCCCAAAGGTGACATCTCAATTTTTCTCGTCAACTTATTTTATCAAGAGTACATACACTTCCTTACACTTTCAACTCACTACAAAAATACAAAGCAAAACAAAACTTTCAAAAGACAGGTAAATACAACAAAATAAGCAGATACAATAGTAAAAAAGAAAAACTTTCAATAAAACTTGTTTATTTCATATAAATTTATGGACATCTATGGAAATAATTTTTGAAAAATCATTTTGCTTAGCTGCACCAAAGCTCTTTAAAAAACTGGAAAAGAAAAACAGTTGTTAATTTAAAATACGGGAAAAGAGGGTTAGGGATCTAACTCAGTAGTGAACACTTCTCTAGCCTTTAATTCCCAGTACCACCAAAAATAAAAATTACAATTAAAAAATACAGAAAAGCAAAATACAAAGGCAGAAGATACCAAAACTAAAGAAAAAAGAATTCCAGAAAACAGAAGTGGTGGGTAACATGAATGTGGAGAGAAGCGGGTGGTGGAGAAAGGAGGCAGCATGCGACAAATCCATAAATACAAATAAAGCACAGGTGAGGAATGCACTGTTTCTAATGGCTACTCATAGGTCCTCCAGAACAAGTGCGAGTGAAAGGGCTACGAATAAAGCCTTGCATTGAACAGGATGAAAATGCTAACAATATTTTTTTTTTGTACCGGGGATCAAACTCAGGACCTTGTGCTTGCGAGGCAGGTGGTGGAACCACTGAGCTAAATCCCGGGCCCTGCTAACAGTATTTTGAACCCGCTGCTAAACAGGAATCAGACATAGCCAGGAAAAGCCACATCTTACTGCAATAAATGGAAGGCCATTTTGTGTACAGATTGTATCCCGTCCAATGGAGGGCACAGAGGGCTTCTTTGTGCTCTCACATTGCAGGTTCAGGGCTCACAACTAAAGAGTGGGGGACACAGAGCCACATGGGCCATACCTGGGTGGCTGGGCATGCCAGTGTTAGACACGAAGTACTTCCACTCCTTCTTCCCATATGCCTCGGCCAGCGTGTCTGGAGTCATCATCTTGGTGCCACGACTTGCCCTGATTTTGAGAAATAAACATACTGCTCATTAATGCTTCTCCTGAACTCTGAACTAACAAAGTCTTGTTTTTCTTCTTTTGTTTTGAGAGACTTCCCTATCTGATATTCTATAAAGCATTTCTATCAATACCTCTACCTTTTGCTCCATTCAACCCACCCACAAGTGATCAGGAGTCGCTCAGTCTGAAGTTAATGCTACCTGAGACACCACGTAGTCCTAGAGAAGCTGTCATTTAACTAGAAGCCACCATGCCCAGAATTCCACTCCTTTTTATAAAGAGGTGAATATTAGATACCAAGATGGAAGAGTGCCAAACGGGAAACATGGTCAAAGAATGCAGTGTGCTGTGCTGGAAAGATAGTACCAAAGATAGCTATGAAACTGAGGAGAAATGGCAGGCTGGCCAGGATGTGAATGGGTAAGGAGAGACCCTGGGGGAGGAAAGCAGACAGATACACATAACCATGAGAGAATGACTAAAGACAGCCAAGAACACTAAGAGAGTTAATTTTGACTGATGACTGGCTTGACTGGGCGATGAGTAAAGCCAATTTCTGAGTGTGTCTGAGGGGACCACAGGGGTATGACATCTGGGGGCTTTATCGGATCCCTGGTGCCTTCCCTTGTACAGCTTCTTCCCTGCTCTCTGCTCCTGATACCATGAGAACGGCTGTCCTCCCTCATTCTCTTCTGGTTACAAGCCAGGAATCAGCAGAACATGAACTGAACCCTCTGAAACTATGAGCCAAAATAAACTTCTCATCCTTTAAATTGCAGCTGTCAAGTATTTTGTCCCAGCAAACTGGCTACCACAGACACTGTGGCAATATGATCACAGAGCTGAAGGTCACAGTCAAAGCTGCACACTTTAGATGTCTGAGACTAAAAAAAAATCAAATAAATTGTCAAGCATTCAAAGGTGTATCCACACCTGCTCTAGCTGGATGTACTGTGGAGGAAGGTCTAGGGGATAATCTGAGAGGACTTCATATAGTTAAGTCCCTGATTTATGAACATTTGAATTGTGAACTGTACTAGATATGAGCAGATCTTGCACTACGAACATAGACAGAGGTGAATGCACTGTGCAAGTAGCTCATGTGTCTGCTGGAGACTGTCACAGTTGTGCTGCTGTGTGCTTACTTATTGGATTAGATTACTTCTGCAAGGATTGTGAATGAGGAACTAGACCTTTAAATCTAAATCTCGAAGATCGGATAATCCCTCATCTATTTCACTAAAATAATAATCTTATTTCATCCAAACCCTAAGGGTCACACACCACGTAGTAATAAAATACCCTACAGCAGTGGTGGAGAACCTTTTAGAGATGAGTGCCTAAACTGCAACCCAGAACACACGCATGTATCACAAAGCACCAACGCTGCAATCAAACCTGAGCACTGAGGTTTTAGTTCAGAAAAAAAACTCATATATTAACATCTTTTGTCTTAAAAGAAAACACAATAACATGTCCACCACTGTCCTAGAGAAAATACAATTTTAACTTTACAAATATATTGCATCACCTGAGCACAGTGCCATTCTCTGCAAGTTTAATGAAGGTTCCATCTTCCAGATCCAATGCCAAACCCTTGCAACTAAAATAGAAAAGTTCGATTATCAATCAGTTCATATGTGCAGGTAATCCAAGAAATAATAATTCATATTTCTAAAAGTTACAACTGCAATAAAGGGATTCTTCTGCCCAGGTTAATGTCATGTTAATTAAACAAACATAAAAAGTAAATACCTACCACAGAGGTATATAAAGATTGTTATTTAGGCAGAGGCCAGCATGTACAGATTGTAAAATCTTTAGGCTTTTAAAAAGATGAACTTGAAAGCCAAAAGAGAAAGAAGCCTGAGGATAATCCTGTGGCTCTGTCAAAATGTGCAAATGTTTCCCATTACCTAAAACACATTATACACCAACGCACAGAAATGCCTGCCTGCATGTGTGCACTGACTACAGGGTGACTGCCCGGCCACAGTGTTCCCTACACCATTCAGAATTTGTCTTGGCTTGTGTCCAGTTGTAAGAGCTAACCCTCCGGGCAAAGCACACTACTGAAATCACTAAATGAAAGTAAGACATCAGGTTTTAAAATTCTTCACTTTAAAAGACTTATGGGACCTGGGGAGAAAAGTGAGTATGGGTTTATATTATAAATAATAAATGCAAAGTGTTTTAATGGCCCTCAAATACCAAGAGAATTAAACAAAAATGACAAGGTACTCTAGAAGCACTATTTACTTACTTGCACAGTAAAACTTTGGGAGCCAGTGGCTTCATAGAGTAAAGAGCTTTCTGTTTCTGTTTTTTATATGAGGGGCATATCAAAGGACTAACCAAATATCAGAGAAATGCATAACAGGTCAATATTACATATGCATTCCTCATGTGTTTTCAGTGTCACCACTAATTTCACTTTGATTTATTTATGTTTAGAAGTTTGTTTTGAGGAGGAGTCTCACTGCGTCACCCAGGCTGACCCTAACTGCCTGGGCTAAGTGATTCTCCTGCTCTCAGACTCGAGGTGATGCCACTGTACTGTACCTGGCTAAAGTGAAAAATTCAAAGTGGTATAAGATTCTTGTTACTGTTCAAATGAGGAGGAAAGACAAAAGAAGCTTTGGAAAGTTGAGAATTCTAAACCAGAAAGGGATCAACAAGGACAAAACCAAACGTTCCAATTTGCACAGCACATGATTGTGACTCCTTTTATAGCCCTTTATGTGAATGAAAGACCAAAAGCTAACTTTTTCTTGATAAAGATATAAAGGTTATTTCTTAACCTCTGAAACACTTAATTATGACAAACTTAAACCATTCAAAAATATCCAAATTAATCAATAAGATTATTTTCACAATTGAGTATAAACTTGTTCAAAGTAGAAAACACAAAACTGTTAGTATAGAAGGTATTTATTTTGTCCTTTGATTCAATTTCACATTTCACATGCCACCTTCACAGAAGAAAAGGCATTAAAATTTGATTAGCAATGATTAAAAACCACAGGGAATGGACAAATATTAAAAAGAAAAAAAAAATAGAGCTCACCAGAAATCCCAGTCCTCTGGAGTCACAGTGAGCAATTCCTTATTGTATCCTTTCTCCTTGACTAGGAACCGAGCAAAGCTATTATAAATGAGCTGCAAACAGAGGCGGTAGAGGAAAGAAAAAAAACAGATTAAATATACAATTCACTATTCATTCTTAATGTCACAGACCTGAAAACAATGGAATCATCAATGGGGCTGGTGGGAGGAAACTATCTATAATTGTGAAGCACTGCAGTTCAATCCCCTTTCACAAGCAATTTATCAACTCCTGCGAGCTCCAGGTAATTCTTCTACCCCAGATTATACCATCAGTATATAATTATATCACCAAGGACAATTATTTATCTTAGTCTTGAATTCTAATGGATTTGAGATCATAATGAGGCTCTGACAAAGCTTTGAAACTTATTTTACACATCTCCATACAATAAACATGTTGACCACTCTAACTGTACATCTGTCCTTGGCCCACCCTTGCTGGACAGGTCCCTCCTCAGAAGAGCCACAGGCATACATACACATGGGGACCAGGAAGATGATTTAAAGGAGGAATCACAAAGCCTGTATTAGATACAGGAAATCTCTATTTCTCCACCAAAAGAAAACTGAGGAAAAAGGACAAGAAGGGAAGTTGTGTTACTTTTCTCTCATTGCTGAGAAGAAACACCCGACACCCAAAGTTAAAGGGGAAAAGGTTTATTTAGCTCACAGTTTGTAGAGGTTTCAGTCCACAATCAGCAGGCTCCAAGGCAGGGTGGCACATGGCAGAGAGGCAACAGTTCATGGAGAAGGAAGACATCAAAAGCAACAAGGGGCCTTAATAGCATCTTTCTGCCCCTCTTAGACTACCGAGGGTGGGCAGCACCCACGCCCTTCATCCTAGTGCCCTTGAGCTGAGCACTGCACCATGAATCAATTCCAGCCCCACAAGCTTCCTCACCTCTGACCACATGAAGCTTTGGGGGGACATCTAGACAGGTACAACAGAAGCCTTTGGAAGCAAACATATGATAAATGCTGTGACTGAACAAATCTTTTGATTTCTCAAAATAAAAAATTCCAGGTTTTGAGTGAAATGTTTTTTTGAAGAGCTAGTTTTAATTTTCTAAGAAACAGTGGACACCTGACAAAAAATGGACTAAAAGTAGATGATGGTGCACACAGACTCTACCTCCCTTGACTTCAGAAGAGTGGCTGAGGTCAGCATCAGATGTCCCTCAGACCAAGGCAGGGCAGTGGTCTGCGGTCAGTGCCCAGAAGGACACATTGAACTGCTGGACCCTGTACAGACCCTAACCCTTGAGAGGCTGTAACAAAAAGTGCATTATGAGAGGCCAGGATATCATGCAAAAGAGGACTGGGCGGTGATGTTTACACTCCACCTGGAAGATGCAGCTGTGAGTCGGGTGAGTCTGAAAGAAGTGGAGAGGAAGCCAGGTATACAAACTGAAGGTCCTGCACACAGCTTGTGCCAGGGGTCTGGGATGTTGGGAAATGAGGGTAGGAAAGCAAAAGCCCCTGTCAAGTAGAGCTGCTCTGTTCTAAAGCTAATGAAAATCACTAGAAGGGTACCCCACCCAGGCCAGTGTGACTCCCAATCCAGGTCCACCACTACACCCACACCATGTCAACATTACTGATCAGTCATCCCCATCCCTGCAGGCTGGCAAGAAGCAAAGTTACTGCTTCTTCAACCATTAGAGATTCTAAGCCTACAGTGTAAGGAGGGGTCAAGGGGGCATCTGTGGAATACTGAACCCAGGGAGGTCTGGAAATTCCTGGTGTACATATTTTATGGATTTTCACTCGATCATTAAAAAAATAAAAAATGTATCGAGATGCACTGAAATGCAAAGTACTATAGGAAACAGTACAGAATCTTCCCTGCTGCTCCCCACATTCTGAACAGCATCTGGCAGCTCGTATCTCTGCTCCTCCCTAGGTCTTTGCTTCTATTGTGTTTCCTCTGCCTAAAGAATGCTTCTGTACCTTCTCACCTGACAAGACCACTGTACGGACCTGCTCCAGGCCACTCTTCTGTGCTTGGCACTCTACAGACAGCACAGTGGTGAAAGGCAGAAACCTGTAGCCAGACACCGTTACTGGGTGCCCTGGAGAAGATGCTTAACCTGTGTGTGCCTTGAGGTTCTTGTCTTTACATACTGACAGTGGTAACAACATCCATCAGGAATAAGAATTAAATCAAGTCGTATAAGCAGAATGCTTATGCAGTTGCTGCCTATATCCACATATTAAAATGCTTATTACTTATCCAATCCTACACTTATCTATTGAGCTAGTACTAGGCTAGGTACACAGAACACAGAGTAAACTGTCACTAGACTCCATAGGAAGATTCTAATAAGTAAACCAAAAGTGTTGGAGTCGCAAGGAAAGTGCTGGAAGTTAGGTTTTTATGGCAAATGAAAGTGGGAATGAGGTAAAGGTGTAAACTTTGGGGGTAAGAGAAACTGGGGAACAGTATGAGGCAGGACAGAGGCCCTCTTGGTAACAGCAGCAGCATGATCCAAGAGATACTGCTCTCACCTGGGACTAAAGTAACTTTCCCCTATTCCACTAGCCTACTTCCCACTGCACCCTGAACACTTGCTGTTGTTTACTTCTGTATCCCCTGCTCTATCTCGGTGCTCAGCACACTGTGGGGCTTAATAAAACGTTGCTGCACCAAACACAACAAACTCACTAGATCGGTGTTTCCAGCCTTTCAACATCACTTATATTCAAGGCTTGTAGGTGAGAGCACCTTGTCTTTGAGTATCTTATTATCTGAAATTTTATACTCACACATGTACAAATTGGCTCTAATGTGACAGTGTTTTAACAACATTCCCTGCAAAAATAAAAGTGGGTACAGAGAAAGAACACAAAAAGTGTGAACCGCATAATGGGACTCTGAAAGGCGCAAAAAGAAAGCAAATAGGCATGGCAAAGAATCAAGTAATAAAAGCCTTCTAATTCTTAATATGACTAAGGAAACCAAACACGCATAATTGGAAAGCAGAAAAGTACAAGAGCAGGAAAAAACACACTTTATTTTTAAGCATCTGTGCACAGAAAACACACAAGTAATTTCGGTAGCCACTCGAGGTTTCCTTTGGAGGACCTGACCCGACGAGGGCACCCGACAGGACTATACTGAGCAGCCCTGAGCGCTGTCCATCCGTGACCTGGAGTTCTACCCAGACATGGGAGCTTTCCAAAACGACTGGGTTGAAACCACGAAAGAAAAACACTCGGTTTTACCACACAGTTTCACTGCTCTAAGTATTATGTAGCTATTGCCCACTTACTCCTTGCCATATTCTTTTGAGGCAAATTCACCTATTACCCCCGTTCTACAGACCCCGAGAAAGAACACAGGTTAAGTAACCTGTCCAAAGTCACAGAGCGCTGGAGGAGCCGGTGTCCTGAGCTAGACAGTCTGGCGCGGGGCCTGCCTGACTTCTGCACGCACGAGCAACTCTTGGGGTGCTTACATTTTGCCCTGTAACTACCTGTTAATTCTTCACATTTGGGGTCGTGTGGAACCGAAGAAAGTCGGGCTGGAGGCCAATGAACCTTGTCTAGTAACGTACTCCACTCGCTCCACCCCTAGGGCGCAGAGAGGCTTAGAAGGCTGTTAGGATTAGAATACGTTTAAAGCGCACGGAGCAAGGAATGAGCAGGCAATCAATGTTTATTTTAGTTTCATTGTAAAGGCAAAATTAGGGCAAAAATCTTCATGGCATTTTCGGCCAAATACACCAGTCTCTTCAATGGATGAAGTGCCTAAACTCGGTGAGTGCTTAGTGACTTGGTATCTTGCATACCGCAAAAGGAAACCGCAACCACGGTAGCCCAAGGCCCAGACTGGGCGGCCGCGTCCACTCTCAGCTGGCGCTAACAAGGGATTGCAAAGACCGAAGGCACGGTCAGAACTCTGGGCCCACCTCTGCCTGAAAAGTGTCTCCCAACCTACCGGACCACCCGTCCCTCCCTCAGTAGCACTAGCCGAGTCGGCTGCGGCCGCCCACCGCGCAGCCACAAGG